TTGAAGAACTGACAATTTCAGGAATGGCTTGTGGAACGAAGGATTAACTTGGCTCCAAAGCGAAAACATGCCTATTTGCTGCCAGCGTTCTCCTTATATACTCACGAGGTGAGGCGGAGTTACGCTATGCAAATTCCGCAGACCCATGGCATTTCTTTGCCATTGGCTCGTTTTGAAGTATTTGAAGTTGATTGGCTTCTAAGCGAAACCCCCATTCGTCGTCATCCGACGGAACTCGGAGTGACAACGAAAGGGAACAGCTGTTTTGCTAGCTCTTTGTGAGATCACGGCCAGCGCTGTCTGCGCTGTAACACCAAAACCAGTTTGAAGAGGTGTTCTCCTGAAGAAGCAGACTCGTTTTTTGAAGTTAAAACACTCTCAGATAAGATTGCAGAGCAGGAACAGCATTCACCGTCTGGCTCCGAAGCGAAAGACAAAGATGTGACTGCTGTTGCAAATCATCGCATGCCAATGTGCATTGGCTCGTTTAGTTTACACTCGAAGTTGGTTGGTCTCTCAAGCGAGATCCCCATATCGTCAGATCACCTCTGATGTATGTCGAGAGTGACTGACGAAGGGGAACTGAACAGTTGCATCACTCACAAATCCAGTTTCAGCTGAAAGTGCAATTTAATGCCAAATATTATGCTTAATTTCTACTGCTGGTTTAAAATGTGAGCTATAATGCAAACAAGTTTAGCTAAAAACATAAAATTATGAATTTATCATACCCATAAATTAATTGGATGTGAATGTTTTTTTAGCATAAATTAACTTTTCTCTTTCAAATAATTTCACATGCTGGATTAGACTCTAGGAGCCATATTTGGCCCACGGTCTGTGTTTGACACACTTGATTTAGATATAACAAGGGGTTAATGTAAGTCTTTGGATCTTACAGAGCAACCATTAACAGCCATGGTTTTGTATTTCTGTTATGATGAGGTGGAAGCAAGGAGGAAGCAGGATCCAATTGCAGCACACTTTATTCAATAAACTCAAACTACATCAAGACTCAGGCTAGGGCGCACAGACTCAGGCTAGGGCGCACAGACTCAGGCTAGGGCGCACAGACTGTGTTTGACACGCTTGATTTATATATAACAAGGGGTTAATGTAAGTCTTTGGATCTTACAGAGCAACCATTAACAGCCATGGTTTTGTATTTCTGTTATGATGAGGTGGAAGCAAGGAGGAAGCAGGATCCAATTGCAGCACACTTTATTCAATAAACTCAAACTACATCAAGACTCAGGCTAGGGCGCACAGACTCAGGCTAGGGCGCACAGACTCAGGCTAGGGCGCACAGACTCAGGCTAGGGCGCACAGACTCAGGCTAGGGCGCACAGACTCAGGCTAGGGCGCACAGACTCAGGCTAGGGCGCACAGACTCAGGCTAGGGCGCACAGACTCAGGCTAGGGCGCACAGACTCAGGCTAGGGCGCACAGACTCAGGCTAGGGCGCACAGACTCAGGCTAGGGCGCACAGACTCAGGCTAGGGCGCACAGACTCAGGCTAGGGCGCACAGACTCAGGCTAGGGCGCACAGACTCAGGCTAGGGCGCACAGACTCAGGCTAGGGCGCACAGACTCAGGCTAGGGCGCACAGACTCAGGCTAGGGCGCACAGACTCAGGCTAGGGCGCACAGACTCAGGCTAGGGCGCACAGACTCAGGCTAGGGCGCACAGACTCAGGCTAGGGCGCACAGACTCAGGCTAGGGCGCACAGACTCAGGCTAGGGCGCACAGACTCAGGCTAGGGCGCACAGACTCAGGCTAGGGCGCACAGACTCAGGCTAGGGCGCACAGACTCAGGCTAGGGCGCACAGACTCAGGCTAGGGCGCACAGACTCAGGCTAGGGCGCACAGACTCAGGCTAGGGCGCACAGACTCAGGCTAGGGCGCACAGACTCAGGCTAGGGCGCACAGACTCAGGCTAGGGCGCACAGACTCAGGCTAGGGCGCACAGACTCAGGCTAGGGCGCACAGACTCAGGCTAGGGCGCACAGACTCAGGCTAGGGCGCACAGACTCAGGCTAGGGCGCACAGACTCAGGCTAGGGCGCACAGACTCAGGCTAGGGCGCACAGACTCAGGCTAGGGCGCACAGACTCAGGCTAGGGCGCACAGACTCAGGCTAGGGCGCACAGACTCAGGCTAGGGCGCACAGACTCAGGCTAGGGCGCACAGACTCAGGCTAGGGCGCACAGACTCAGGCTAGGGCGCACAGACTCAGGCTAGGGCGCACAGACTCAGGCTAGGGCGCACAGACTCAGGCTAGGGCGCACAGACTCAGGCTAGGGCGCACAGACTCAGGCTAGGGCGCACAGACTCAGGCTAGGGCGCACAGACTCAGGCTAGGGCGCACAGACTCAGGCTAGGGCGCACAGACTCAGGCTAGGGCGCACAGACTCAGGCTAGGGCGCACAGACTCAGGCTAGGGCGCACAGACTCAGGCTAGGGCGCACAGACTCAGGAACGGCACAACCAACATCAATGTTACAACAACAAGAACTCACAAAGACTGGACTGAAACACAGGGCTTAAATACAAGGCCAAACAAGCTAAACATGAACACAAACGAGGAGCGGGAAAACTGAACAGGACTGAACCAAAAGCACAAAGACAGGGGGAACACAGACAAACATTACAACATAGCCCCCCCTCTATGGGCGGCTCCCGACGCCCATCAAAACTAGAAACATAGTTCGGGAGGGTGGTGGAGCGGAGGCGGTCCCGGGGGAGGGATGGAGGGCCAGGTTCGTGCAGGGAACGGGACCGGAGTCTTGCGATGGCGGGCCTGGGCCATGGAACGTGGGCGGACCTGGGCCATTGAACATGGGCGGAGCAGGCAACCGGGGCAGAGCAGGCGACCAGGGCAGAGTAGACCCCTCGGGCGGCCACGGCGGTGAAGACCCCTCGGGCGGCCACGGCGGAGACGTTTTTTCAGGTGGCCATGGTGGCACTGGGAACCTTGTCGGAGAGACCTCCGCGGCCCCCCTAGCAGGTATACTGCACCCCCCCAAAATATTAATGGGGAAATTGACAGGAAAGGGGGGGTCCGGCAGCAAAGAGGGTCTTGGGCTGGGCAGGACCAGCGGTGAAGAGGGCTTTAGGCTGGGCAGGACCAACGGCGAAGGAAACTCTGGGCTGGACAGGACTGGCGCAGGATCAGTGGGCTCTGGCGCAGGATCAACAGACTCTGGCGCAGGATCAGCGGGCTCTGGCGCAAAGACTGGCTCTTCCTCGAAGACTGGCTTTGCAGGCGTGACGTGAAGATTTGGGCTGAGTTCATGGGCTGTAGCCGATGTGTGTGCTGCCCACACACACAAAAAAGCCATGGACATCACAATGAGCCCAGTATCTTCCAGAGCAGACTCAAGTGCAGCATGAACAGTCTCTGGCAGGGCGGACAACACATGCTCAGACTCTGGTGGGCAGGCGACTGGTTCAGGCCTTGGCGAGCAGGCGACGGGCTCGGGACTGGACGAGACCAGCGGCGAGGGCTCGGGACTGGACGAGACCAGCGGCGAGGGCTCGGGACTGGACAGGCTCAGGCTGGACAGTGAGCTGGCAGGGTGCTTCATCAGCCAAGCCCACAGTAAATGCCGAACCGCTCAGCAAAAGGGCCAGGTCGACATACTGCTCAATAGACCCGTTTGGGTCATGCAGTGGCATCAGGTAGCTGAGCGGCTCAGAAAGACCTCCACGAAAAAATATCATTAGGCACAAATCATCCATACCAGACAGGTGAGCCAGCTCCAAAAAGTCCCTCACGTAGTCCTCAATCGGTCGGTCTCCTTGGCGGAGACATATCAGTTGTGCTGCTGGATTCATTTTTGGTGAGTTCTTCTGTTATGATGAGGTGGAAGCAAGGAGGAAGCAGGATCCAATTGCAGCACACTTTATTCAATAAACTCAAACTACATAAAGACTCAGGCTAGGGCACAAGACTCGGCTAGGGCACAAGACTCAGGAACGGCACAAGACTCAGGAACAGAACAACCAACATCAATGTTACAACAACAAGAACTCACAAAGACTGGACTGAAACACAGGGCTTAAATACAAGGCCAAACAAGCTAAACAAGATAACAAGGGGGCGTGGTATACATGAACACAAACGAGGAGCGGGAAAACTGAACAGGACTGAACCAAAAGCACAAAGACAGGGGGAACACAGACAAACATTACAACATCTGTAGCTTTACTAACTTTTTTGTTGTAACTTTCTGTTCCTCATAGCCTGTACTTTTCCAACCACAGATAATGTACATTGCACATTGCTCTCTTCAAAACAAGGGTGTACAGACAAGAATGCACTTCATGTAGCTTTGCTAACTAAACAAAATAGACGGGTAGAATTTCAAGGCTGGCTTACCAAAAAAAGCAATATTTACTTAAAACAAACTGTATCTATTTGGTACAAAAGTCTCATGAAGGACTGAGCTCTCTCTGAAGATGTGTTTTATAGTTTGTTGCAAGGTTTGGAGAAAAAAAACACAAGGAGTTTTACTGGCAACATCTGTAGTGTGCGTCGTCAGGAAAACTTGGATGAATCAAAAGTATCCTACAATTGGCTAACTTGGATGATAGTTTATCCTGCGATTTTCATTTTATTTTGTTTGGCTGTATTCATATCACAAACTAGTTATTACCAGACATTCAAGGCCACAAGACATCTTTAAATGGTTTTAGTGACTAGTGATTTACCTTAGTAAATTAATTTCTTATCTTGGATATCCATTATTCAATAAATGTTAATTAAAAATGTTAAGTAAATAAATATCTATATGCTATACAAATATTATTGCTTTAAGTAGGTTAGTGTTAACTGTTAAATGACTCAAATATAAAATTGGGGTAGGGAACATAAAAATATCCAAGCGGAGCTTATGGAAAATCCTTTGAGGTTCATAATACCACAGGCACATTAGCTATTTCTGGTGGTTTCAAATTTGAATCCATCACTTTCTTAAATATCTTTCTATTCTCTGAAAGGTGGAGACTGTTGGTGATAAGTACATGACCGTGAGTGGCCTTCCGGAGCCCTGCACCCACCATGCAAAGTCCATCTGTCACCTGGCCCTAGACATGATGGAGATCGCTGGACAGGTGAAAGTGGACGAGGATCCTGTGCAGGTGATCACTCAGAATATTTTCTTGTCCCTGTTACAAGTAAAAAAATAATAATAAAAAAAAGTGCATTGCAAATGAGGTTCTTTTAAGGTCTTTCGTTCCAGAACATCTAATTAACAGGTTAACATAGTATCTCTGCAAGTCTGCAGAAGTTGGCATGCTGAGGGTGCTGAGAATTCACATGATGAGATACTGTGTACTGTTTAATATATGAAATTCTATATAATATGATATAGATCAGAGACATACCATTTTAGTAGCGTCTCTGATGTGTTTCCGGTCGGAGAGCACGCTGGCCCGGTTTGGTTGCCGCTTCTCCCTCCGAGTCTATCTAATACTGTTGGATGTAATATTAATACTGTCGACGTTTATTTGCGCCAGTTAGTAAAGTAGTGCAAAACAGTTAGCTAAATTTACTGACATCTCGTACAAATGCTGCTGACTGCCTGTTGGCTCCGGTTGAAACGTCTTCATTTCACGTCCTTGGTCTGAGAAATCTGTCACTGGTGCCGTTCGTCTCTGATGTGGTAATACGTGTTTTCCTTGGAGGGCCTGCTTGTTACCTGGCTAACTACGAGGTGGATCCACCCACGCACACCGTGTCTTCCCCGGTCCGCTCTGTGCTGCCGGTTGCGACGCGCTGATACTCACTGGCATCTCAGCACCGAGTCTGTTGGTTCTTCCTACTGAAACGTCCCCATTCCTCTGTCCGTGGTTTGTGAAAGCTGTCCCTGGTGACGTCTGTGCCTGCTGTGGTGCTCTGCCTGCTACCGGGTCATCTACGAGGCGGATCACTGTGTGTATGTGTGTTTACCCTGGTGCGCTTTACGCACGCATACACACACTCATCGGTGGTGACACGCGGATAAGTTACTTACTGGCATCCCAAACTACTGAACTTCGAAAATCAACCTACCTAGGGGGTTTCTAAATATTGCTGTTAATATGAGAATTAACATGTGTCTCTGGTGGATTCTTTTATGCTCTACTGTCAGTGCCACTTCAGCACTAAAATACTCGGCAGCGGAGCTATTGCGTCTGAACTCAATGAACTTCAGGACTCCGCTGGCTCTGTTTGCCCACCGTGATGTTCTTTCCCGACCGAGATACATCCACCGTGGATCTGGACGATCTTATACATCCAGTAAGTCATCCTCTGCTATTAGTTTGATTTGGTCTAAAGTTCGTCCCGTCTCCTCCACCGGCCGTGGAGTTAATCCAAATCATGTGATTCCAGTTACTAAGGCAACGCCAAACGCTAGTTTTACTGACTGTTTTAAATGTGGACTTTTTAATGTTCGATCTCTTACAAATAAAGGTCTGCTGATAAGTGAGTTTATTAGTGATGGTAAACTGGACATAATGTGCCTCACTGAAACTTGGCAACAGCCTAATGATTATTTTCATCTTAATCAAACAACTCCTAATGGTTATACTTACATCAGCCAACCTCGCTCTAGTGGGCGTGGGGGTGGGCTTGCTGTTGTCTATCGTGACACGATCAAAGTTAAAACAATCAGTATACCTCATTTTTCTTCTTTTGAATGTTTGGCTGTTAAACTCCATGGCTTTCTACCGTTGGTAATTTTAACACTCTATAGGCCACCTAAACCATCTGATCTCTTCTTAACTGAATTTTCTGCATTAATGACTTCACTAAATGTCTATTCTCCCAATATATTACTTGTTGGTGATTTTAATATTCATATTGATGCCACTACTACTTGTTCCTTTGCTGCAGATTTTATGTCATTACTTGATGGTCTTGATGTCTCTCAAAATGTCCATTTTCCCACTCACAACAAAGGTCATACCCTAGATTTAGTTTGTTCAACTGGTATTGTTCCCTGCAATATAACACATGCTGAGTTACCCATTTCTGATCACAAAGCTGTTTTATTTGAAGTCTCTGTCCCAGTTTTCAGGTATAAACATCAACGCACCATAGCCTATAGAAACATAAAACATATTAATCCTTCTGACCTTGTGAGCCTCATAAATACATACTCGACTACTGACTCCCTCTGTCCCTGCAGCCACATCACTCATTACAATGACTGCCTATCTTCTTCTCTTGATGCCCTTGCTCCTATTCAAACTCGTTCTGTTTCCTTCAACTGCTCGGCGCCGTGGTACACACCTGATCTCCGCCAGTTAAAAAGATGTGGGAGACGCCTCGAGCGCCTGTATAAACGGACAGGCCTTGTATCTCATGCACAGGCCTACAAAGATCACCTTTTGCTGTATAACAAAACCATTTCTGCTGCTAGAACATCTTACTATTCGAACATAATAATCTCTGGAAATAACAATTCTAAGCTCCTGTTGTCTACGGTAAACAGGCTCCTTAAACCACCAGAAAATGTATTCTCTGACCCCTCAACCGACCTCTGCAACAAGTTTTTAAACTTCTTTCTTGCAAAAATTCAAGGAATACATCACCATTTGCTTAATATTCCTAGCACTCCAGCTCTTAGCCTGACCTACATAACTGCCCTGCAGGGCTCTGCTTCAACCATCTCTCTCTCAAACTTCACCTTGACCTCAGAGAACCAGATCAATGAACTTGTCAGCAAATCTAAAACATCTACTTCACAATTAGACCCTATCCCTACCAGTCTTCTTAAATCATGCCTGCCTTCCATCTCACCATTACTCACTACATTAGTAAATTCCTCCCTCTCCACAGGCATTGTACCGTCCGCCCTTAAGACTGCTGCTGTCACTCCGGTTCTCAAAAAGCCTAATGCGGATCCTGATGACTTCAACAGCTACCGTCCCATCTCCAATCTTCCTTTTGTATCCAAGATTCTGGAACGGGTCGTGGCACATCAACTTCATCACCATCTCATCTACAATGATCTGTATGAACATTTCCAGTCTAGTTTTCGTGCTAAACATAGCACGGAAACAGCATTGGTAAAAATTACCAATGACCTACTCTGTGCTGCTGACTCTGGTCTATTGTCCATCCTGATTTTACTTGACTTGAGCGCGGCTTTCGACACCATCTCTCATCCCCTCCTCATTGAACGTCTGGCCAGCATTGGTATCATGGGGGATGCACTCTCCTGGTTCTGTTCATACCTCACGGATCGTCAGCAGTTCGTACAACTCAAACACTATAAATCGGCCTGTGTGCCTGTGCCTCAGGGTGTCCCCCAGGGGTCAGTGTTGGGTCCACTCCTTTTCATTATATATCTGCTACCCCTGGGGATGATCATGAGACACCACAAAATTAATTTCCATTGCTATGCTGACGACACCCAGCTTTATATTTCAACTAAACCTTCATCTCCCCTTCCACCCACCTCACTCAGCAACTGTCTTCAAGACATTCAAAATTGGATGAACACAAACTTTTTAAAACTCAATGCCAATAAGACAGAAGTCCTGCTTATCGGCTCCAAATCTACCCTCTCAAAACAGCAAGATCTTAATTTAACCATAGATGAGACCACGGTCCCTCTGTCAACCGAAGCCAAAAGCCTTGGTGTCATTCTGGACAGTTCACTCTCATTTAAATCTCAGATCAAATCACTTACCCGGGCCTCCTTCTTTCATCTCCGAAATTTTCCAGGCTTAGACCCTCATTGACACAAGCCAGCACTGAAATCTTAATTCATGCCCTTGTCACATCTCGTCTGGATTATTGCAACTCCCTTTTCATCGGTCTCCCCTCTAAGCTGATAAATAGACTTCAAGTCATTCAGAATTCTGCCGCTCGAATCCTCACTGGTCTCAGACCATCTGATCATATCACACCTATCCTAATCACTCTACACTGGCTCCCTGTGCACTACCGTATTGATTTTAAGACCCTTGTCATCACCTACAAAGCACTCCATAACCTTGCACCCAGTTATATTTATGACCTCCTATCAGGATATGTTCCTACTCGCTCCCTTCGCTCTTCCTCAACTGGACTACTTGTCACTCCCAAATTCCGTCTCTCCACCATGGGGGCCAGGGCTTTCAGTTGCGCTGCTCCAAGACTTTGGAATGCCCTCCCCTCCTACATTCGACAGGCAGACACAGTTAATTCATTTTAAAAATTGTTAAAGACCTATCTCTTTAAGAAAGCTTTTAATCTTTAATGCATTTTAGTTCTACTTTACCATAGTTACCCTTCTGACACTCTTTTATAGTGCTTTCTTCTGGCGTTCTTAGCATTTTGCTGATTTGTCTTATTTGTAACATGTATTAGCCTACTATGAATTTAATGTATTTTAATGGTTTTCCCTTTTGTACAAACATGTAAGATGTCCTTGGGTATTTAGAAAGGCGTCGGCCAAATAAAATGTATTATTATTATTATTATTATTATAGAATATGTGACCCTGGACCACAAAACCAGTCACAAGTCGCACGGGTATATTTGTAGCAATAGCCAACAATACATTGTATGGGTCAAAATTATCGATATTTTTCATGCCAAAATTTATTAGGTGAAATTAGTTATTTGTGAAATTAGTCCAATGGTGTATAGGCGGGTGACGTCATGGCAGGAAGGTATAAAGCGCACCCAGACCAAACAATGTCAGCTTCTGTGTCTTCAGCAAGCGCTCTGTGTGAAACTGTCTCTGTCTATTTATTGTTGTTTGTCCACAAGCATATTTTATATCTAGACAGGAATATAATGGCGAGCAAACAGCATTTTGGATTGTGTGTTCCTCCCTGCCCTCGCTTCATTACGAGTGGGGACACATGCGATTTATGTGTTGTTTGTTTGGGAGTAGAGCATGCACGGTCAGCTCTAGTAAAAGGGGGCTGACAGTGTTCTTTCATAAATTCCCGACGTGTAGCATATGCACAATCGAGAGTTTTAGCTCTGCTCCCGTTGGCTTTCTTCTCGAGGGAAGAAAGTCAATAAAGATTCTTTGGCCCTGATCACGGATCTCGCGTGTGCAGAGGCAGCGCGTAGATTACGGGTCTGCAATAAAGATTCTGTGACTCGATCCCGGATCTCGCGTGTGCAGAGGCAGCGCGTAGATTATGGGTCT